TGGTAGAAGCACAAAGGCATGATCAGGAGGTAGCTTTCGTCAAGGCACGGTTGGAGTTTGGTGAACTAGTGCCCAATTGGACAATTCATCCAGATAGAAGTTTGAGGTACCCAAGCAAACTGTTTGTGGAAATTAATGAGTAACGTAGGGAGAAGGTTTTCAAATAATTTCATCACTTAGCATTTGCGGTACATCCAGGAGGGACTACAATGTATCAAGATTTGAAACGACAATATTGGTGGAATGGAATGAAGAAAGACGTGGCTCAGTTTGTAGCAAGATGCCTTATGTGCCAACAAGTGAAGGCAGAGCATCAAAAGCCGAAAGGAATGCTTTAGCCTCTGCCTATAGCTGAATGGAAATGGGAGCACATAATGATGGACTTTGTGACTAGGTTACCCAAATCTCTGAAAGGACATGATGTCATCTGGGTTATTATCGATCGATTGACAAAAAAAAAAAACGGCGTCCACAATTGGCGACTCTACTGACACGCTAGAATCTTTGAGTTGTCTCTACATTTAAGACGTAGTACAACTACTCAGAATTCTCATCTCCATTATCTCAAACCGCGATCTGCGTTTTACCTCTCAATTTTGGAGAGTCTGCATGAAGCACTGGGAATGGAGTTATATTTTAGTATTGTGTTCCATTCCCAAATAGATGGATAATCTGAATGCACCATTCAAACTCTAGAGGATATGTTAAGTACATGTGTGATGGATCTCAAAGGAAGTTGGGAGAGACATATACCATTGGTAGAATTTTCCTACAACAACAGTACCAGGCCAACATTAGAATGGCTCCTTTTGAAGCATTGTATGGTCGACAAGCAGGTCTCTAGTCTGTTGGACTGAAGTGGACGAAGCAAATTTAGTAGGAGTAGACATCACATTTTGACTGACCATTAAGACTTAGGTGCTTGAAATGCTTCTCAATGATGAAAGGTATCATAATTTCAACCTTGGAGATGATTGAAGCTGCTAGAGCTGATGTATTGCCATTTTCATGCCAAAAACTGTTTTTTACCAGAATTACCATTTTTTTTGTTTATCTTGAGGGCCTATTTTCACCTAGAAAAGTTTGAATTTGAAAACATCTATTTCATACAAAATTGTATCCCTTTGAATTAGCTTTCCCACAACACTTGATTCACCTCAATTTGATGTTGGATGAGAGAAATATGCCCAAAATACAAAAGCTTGTTTAGGACGGCTGCACGTGCGGCTGCATATCATTTTTTTTGCAAAATTGAAGGTGTGGCCACACCTTATGGCCAAGGTGTGGCCGCACAAGCTATGTACGGCCGCACCTTCCCCCAATGCCCAGAATTTGAGTTTCAGCAAGGCTATGAGTGAGATTTTGTAGGGAGGCACAATGGGAAACGATACTCAACCCTAGGACGCCCCTTTGGCTTGTTTCCTAAGTTCTCTAAGCCCATAAATACAGCCTCTACTCCCTCCTTTCAAGAAGTTGAACTTTTTGAGCAAAATTGTGAGTTTTTTTAGTGAAATTCCTTGCCTCCTCTTCTATCAAACCCTGGGCTCCAAATCCCAGAACAACTCTAACAACTAAAAAATCATCTAAGGTTTGAAGAACTTGAACATAATCAGAACCTAAGCCTAAAGAAAGCAATCAAACAAGAAAACTAGGCTTTCTTCATGTTTTCTTCTGTTTATTGTAAACTAGCAAGTAAGTTCTTTTTTTCTTTCAATTTTCAGTAGCTTCTCTTTATTTTTCGTCATATAATCATGGCTAGGATAATAGGTTGCATTCATGTTCATCTAGGTTAGCTATTATATCAATTTTTTGTTTTATTTCGCATGTTTTGTTTATGTTATTTAAACAATATGTTTAGGCTAGTTTAATCATGTAATATTCATGCATATAGCCCAGTTTGATCATCTAGTTTCAGCATATTTTTCGTTTTTTCTTTTTTTTGTTAGTTGCTTTGTTTGCATTAAATTATGGCAATAGCCTTCAAACTGGACTTAGGTTTGCTTTGTGTGTTTAGTTGCATATTTAGGCTCATATGCATTTTATTTAATCATACTTTGCATGGTAAGATGCTTGAAGTAGGCATCCGGATAAGTCTTCTTGTCCTTCATAGCATGTATGCTTGTTTTGGTGGCATTGTTTTTCCATAATCTAAGTTTATGTGCTTTTTCATGCAAAATTGTTTGTTTTGAATGTTTTATAAACATTGTTTATTTTTGGTTAAGTTTATGGCCATGAATCATAAAAAATCAAATTTTGTTGGAAAAATTAGTATTTTCAAAAAGATGGTTTATTCTTTAATATAAAATAAATGATATTTATCTTTTATTCAAATCACATAGTTTTGGGGTAATAAAGGTTTTAGATTTAAAATAGACTTGTTTGAAATAATTAATCTCTAAAATCATAAAATATAATATTAGTAGAGGCTAATCTTCAAATTGGATAAAAATGGGGTATTTTCATTCCATGACCTTCCCCTTCTTGTACCTTACCTCCCGAACCGATGATCTCTAGTTATGACAGATCAAGTCATTGACTTAGTTTTCATTGTTAAAAGTTTCTTAATTCCACATAAAATTAAGTGGTGACTCTTTCAATGTGGGATTGGCAAGTCGGCACAATCATCAAGGTGGCATGAGAGGTATATTGATAGTCACAGCTAATATATCCTCTTGACTAAACCTACCCTTGCATATCAAAAGCTTTAACACCTTTCAAATTAGGACAGGAAACTTCCCTTTCAGTATTGTATTGTTGCCTTTTTGTATGATTTAGTAAATCTCTAGATCTTTCTAAACTAGGACTGGATAATCCTAATCCAAATAGGCATGAATGCAAATTATGTGCTTATATGGTTTCTTGTCATGAATGGAAAAGCAGTAATTTGATTATCAAAATCAATAGTCAAAAAGACAGTGATTTGATTGTGGAAATCTTGGTCAATTGGACAGTGACTTGATTCTAGAAATCTTGGGTCAATTGGGCAATGATTGTGATTCTAGAAATCAGTGGTAAATTAGGAAATTGTTTCCTAATCAATGAATTTGAGTTGAATTTTAAATCTTACCATTTGATCAATTAGGAATAATTATCTCCCCAAACGTGAAATTTAAGTAGAATCCCAATACTATGAGAAGTATATGATCAAGATACAACTTCTTAAAAGTATCTGGTTTGAGTAGAGTTTTGAAAATTATTGAAAGTGTTTGATTGAATAATAATTTTGAGTTATTGACTTTGTGGAGAAATCTTAATTTTATGGAAATGTGTTAGACATGGAAGTGGTGACCAAATCTTTCACTTTGAATAAAATTTTGTAATCTCCTAGAAGATATTTGACTATGAGATATTTATTTGATTGATGAATTGAAATAAAATCTGAAACTCCTTCGAAAGATTTTGAATGGAAACAATGATTTGATCATATACTTTGAACAAAATTGGGATTCCTTAAATTTATGATATGAATGGAAAGATAATTATTTGATTGATCACTTTCGGTAGAATTCTAATTGTTCTTTAAGATTGCTTGCCACTACTACATTTTTAATTATTTGTTCATCTCTAATAACAAGTGTCTGAAGATTTATTTAAGACAATTTAATTAATCTTCCTAAATACTTGAATATTGCACACCAAGTGTTTCATATATTGTTGCACATGCTTTGCACTTGTGTTTTTGTGTTATTTGAGTTTATCCAATTATCTTCATTACATTAGAATTATTTCTACTTATTTGACCATTAGAATTTGGGGTTTGCTAAAAAACACTATTCACCCCCTCTATACTGTGTTTGATTGGAGAATTTGGAGAGGAATTTGAAAAGAGAAATGAAAAAGATAGGTAAAATGTGAATAAAACATACCTATATTCACCTAGTTTCACACACCTTCTCCATTTCCCTTTCCAAATTACTCCTCAAATCCGCCAACGAAACACAACACTAGTGTCAAACACATAGGAAAATATTGATATCAGAACCTTCGTCTCTTGATTTTGGCTAAGCACCTAGAGTTCAGATCATGGCCGTAACCCCATTGGAGTGGTTGTTCCCTAGAGAAACTCCACTCATAGACCACCATTTTTCACTCGCAACAACTATGCTTTTTGATACGATAAGATGAGTTCTGATCTTCAAGACCAAGACTTTAATATTTGGGATGTTACGTTATTATCAAAGGTCCCTTTGTCCCTAAGGAAACCACTGAGAAGGGGATGTTATCCCTAAACCTAGAGGAGAATGGACTAATGAAGATAGTAAACTTAATCAAATTATTCATAAGACAATGTATGTATGTTTTTCAATGTGCTACAGTAGAAACCACTGGAAAAGGGGATGTTATCCCTAAACGAGAATGGACTAATGAATTCTATTTTAACTTAATCAAATTAATCATAACAAGACAATGTATGTTTTGCAATGTGCTTTGGTAGAAAATGAATACAACAAATTTCTAGAATGTACTACTGCCAAGGAATTATAAGATAAACTGAAACTTTTCTAGCTAAGGAGTCCAAAGATTAGTTTGATATTGCATGAATATAAATTGTTTAAAACTGGAATCAAATGAATCTATTACTTATTCAACAAGTAATAATTTAGTAATGATATTATACCGAAAATCCAAAAATCAAAACACCACCTCTTGCAAAACCAACATCCACATCCTCCGAAAGCTCAAAGACAAAAACAATCATCTCAAAACCCATTGCCTGAATATATATACAGTTCTCAAACATACCCATGTCTCGGGTAGGCAGGCAAATATATAATGAATTATTATCTCTATTGTACATCCTTTTATTCTAATTATTCATTCACTTTATAAAACTACAGATTGTCCACTTTGATAGTTTTCTCAAATTTATCCATCATGCAACTCTTCAATCTGTTTTTTTCTTTAAATATGAGAGAATTTATTCACATCATCGGTTGTTCCCAGCCTCCATCAAATGTATGGATCATCTACAACAGCAAGCAGCAATTCTGTGAATGACAGTGGAAGCACACAACAGTGAGAATCAGAGGTATACAACATTCTAGATGAATTGCCCAGGTATCAACAAACCCAATAAAGTAAAAATATAACATAATTTGGGAAACAGAAAAGCCAACAAAATTTTGCAAAATCAAGTAAATTATTGTCTGAAAAAAGATGAAACTTACATTTTCCAGTAAAGAAGCATTTCTAAACTCTGATACCGATTTGATATAGAAATTCCATATTTCTCCTAGTTTTTATTTAATTGTAAGTATATTTTTACATAATTTACAACATCTAATCTAAGAACAGTATATAATATGCAAAGTGTTCAAAACACATCCCCATACCCTTATCCAACTTTTGGATATATATCCACTAAAATTTGGATTTATGTAAAGTCAGACACTTAGATACGCACCTGCACCACCTAAAACTCGCACTTAAGTCCATGGAATATAGTTGAACACTTCGGTTGGGAATTGTAAATATCATTTGGGCAATACAGGGAGCCAAATTTTCTTACTGAAGGTACCAATTATGACAAGGACCTGAGCAGAATATATATAAACCAAGCCAACAGGAATGATTGGAGAAAGGAAAATTTTCTTTGAAGAATTCAAGCATGTTTACCCCGCGGGGCAATCATTCGTAGTTGTGGTTTTAGGACTTCTTCAAGAGAAGGCCTTGTTACTTCAAATGAGCACTAAAAATAACATCAGTCATCCAAAACACAGATAAATTGGGAGAACAGGCTGGGGAGTTGCTAATGGATGCGATGAGTAGCCTTGTGAACAAAAATCTAAAACAGAAGAAATTACAACACACCCGCAAGAAACTTAAAGGGACCTCAATGGGATGGCTCAATATTGTATATTCCATAAATAATCAGCAGCACAATAGCTTATGGATGCACATTTACCAGTCCAATAATGATAAAAATTAGGTGCATCACATGACTAACTTTTGGTGAAATGGCCAAGTGTGAAACTTTATAAATTACATGTTATATTATACAAAATAACTGAACGCAAGCTAAACAACCACGAAATTGTTACTGGAGGCTATGAAACAATTTAAAGATGAGAAATACACCTACAGTAACTGGAGTACATCGGTGGCAATCTCAGGGGTTTTTGGTTTGTTAAGCTGTGATTTTTTTCTTTACAGCATGCAGAGATGGACATGTCTATTTAAGTGACCAGACCCTTCTGTTTCCTGATATAGTAGATGTCATCTCTATCATACAGATCCTGAACTTTGACAAATCATTTTGACAAGCAATGAGCTAATGATGCAATTGTATATGCCCATCGACATAATTGATATCAGTTTGGGTGCAGAACAGGGTACAACATCATGGTAAACCAGTGTTTTTAAAGGCTCAAGGCGCACGAAGACGCTGAATGTCTCTGGGGGCCTAGGCGCAAGGTACAAGGCGAGGCGCGGGCTTTATTGAAGCAAGGCACACAGTCTTAGTAAAAAATAGATAAATTAACATAGACTAATCATTCATAGTACTAAGACAATTTTTTTAAGAATAAAAAGTAACCAAGACAAATTATAGAATAATTCTCAAAGCCATGAAAGTGCATATTACATAGCATTCCAATTTACAAAGATAAAATAATCCATATTCAACCAAAAAAAAAACATAAACACTAAACATCCAAAACATAAATATAAGTCTTAACATTTCAAAACATTGATATCATAAGAAAGGGTAGGTTAGGTCATATTATTTGTAATTTGTTTTTCCTAACACAGACAGGAAACAAAACAGACCAACAGCAGCAGAAAAAGAAGAAAAAAAAACAGAGAGCAACGAAGAAGGGGAAGGAGAAGGAGGAGGAGGAGGAGGAGGAGAGAAAAAAAAAAAAATCCCCAGCAGCAGCAGCGATGAAGAAGCAGCACAAAAAAAAAAAAGATACGACAGCACCCAGCAAAGAAGAAAAAGAGGAGAAGGGGAAGAAGGAAAAAACAGAGAGACGACAGCAAAGAAGAAGCAGCAGCAACGAAGAAGCAGCAAAAAAATAATTGAATCGAAGCAGCATGCGAAGCAGAAGAAGACAACTCACCTCAAGCTTTCTTCGCAATGAGCCCAGAGGAAGAGAAGAGACAAAAGACGAAGCAGCACAGTCCTCAATGAAGGACGAAGTCACAATGAGCCTAGAGGAATAGAAGAGAAGTCGCAATGAGCCCAGACGAAGTCGCGACACCTCAAGCTTTCTTCGATAGATTTTAGGGCTTTGAGGAGTCGACTGATTTGGGTATTGAGTTGTATGAGTTGTAATCGTATGTGGTTGAATCTTAGTTGCACGAAGCGGGAGGGGGAGGGGGAGCGGGAGCGGGAGCGAGAGCGTGGAATCGTAGACATTTCAAGAATCATTAGTTGAGAGCGTTTGTATATATTTTAAATAATATATAAAAATATATTATAATATTATTATAAAAAAATCATATGTTAAAGTATTCTAATTATATACTTTTATTATAATTTTTTTCATTTATTCTAAAATATTTTTATTACTTTTTTATCTATTTACTCTAAAATATTTTTGTTAAAAATTATTTATTTTATGTTATTTTCTTTAAAAAATAACTTAATCAATAAATATAATATATAAATAAATACACATAAATTTATAAAGGCAATATATAATATATAAATTAAAACAGATATATATAATATATGAAGGTTATATATAATATATAAATAAAAACATATATATACATATATATAAGTATAATTTATAAAAACAAAAACAAAAGCAAAAATATATGTACATAATACATATTATATATATATATATATACATATATCTTTAATCTGAGAAGAGAAGATCAAAGAGAGAGAGAGAAGTTGTGAACCACTTGCAAAGAGAGAGAGAGAGACGTCACGCGAAGACCAGCGAAGAGGAGAGAGAAGTCGCGATGGCTTATGTGCGACTCACGAAGACCAACGAAGAGAGAGACGTCGCAAGGACCAGTGAAGAGTAGAGAGAAGTCGCTATGGCCAGTGTGCAACTCGCGAAGACCAACGAGGAGGAAGGGAGAAGTCTGCGATGGCCTGTGAAGGTCTTGCGATGGCCTGCGATGGAGCTCCCAATGAGAAGAAGACAGATTCGTGATCAGATTCGCGTTTCTCTTGCTTCAAAATCGCGATTCTTCAATGAATTTGAGTCAAAAGCGCAAAATTGCGCTTCTGAGGAAGAATCGTGAGCAGCATGAACAATTCCTGCTACTAAAGGTTGAACCCTTTCAAACTCATATCAGAGCGATTAGATCAGCATCCGGGGGGTAATACACAAAGGCACGCTTAGGCGTCGCCTTGCGCCTTTCTGCACCTGACCCAAGGCTCGGCCAAGGCGCACGACTCATCTACCTCGCCTCACCTTGGGTCCCTTCAGTCGCAACAGCTGTGCCTCGCTGCGCCTTGCGCCTAGGCGCGCCTTTCACAACACCCTGGTAAACTATACTGGGGAGGTGGGCCCTCTACAAGGTTTAGCTCCTCCTGTGATAAAAAGGCTATCCAATCAACCATCCACTAATCAGAAGCACATCATATTGCAGAAGTGACATGAAAGGTCCCACTGAAAAAATTATCTACAAGTGAACTAATATGTTATACTGATTGTCATTCTCAAAGGGCAAAGCAAGGGTTGCTGGCGACGCTACATCAAGCACCTTCCATACCATGATATGTACAATGACTTCAAGCTCTAGGGCATTAAAGAGGTGAGAAGCTAGAGTGGAGGAATCAAACCCCAGAACTCAATTCCGTAGCAGATAACATCACAAATTGGAAACATACATTATACAGAAATCATATTATCAATAGATTATAGATTTATTCCAAATGGGACAAAAAAAATTGGCAATTGGCAAAGAAAAACAACTGATTTATGTAGGGATCAACCCTTAATGCATCAGCATGCAAGTGTGGGGAGAGTATAAGAGCCAAAAAGCTGAGTCATGACCTGAAACTTACCCTGGAAGCTCAAAACATGCATTCACCTTATGTGCAAACTTCTGAGGAAGTCCGAGAGCCTGAAAATACGCATCAAACCGTGAAAGAGAAACAAACAGAAAAGAGATTACCACAAATGTTGTTGCCAACAAGTGAAAAGAAGGAAGTATACAAGGCAGAAGGCAAAACCTTATATTCTTAGCAATCACTGTATGACCATCTTCAGCCCCAAGATGACGCAAAACCACTTCCTCCAAACGACCATCACGATATGCATGCTGTAATTATGGAACATCCATGTACACAAACATATAAGGTTTTACTCTCATTCCAAGGACTCCATCAAATATAAATTAGAAGTATCCAGCGAAAAGGACTCCATGCAAATTAAAAGAATCCTGTGCAGATGAAATTGTTTTCATATTGCGAAAGAAACAATTTGAAAAGTTTAGTTACAGAAAAGTTGAACATTATCAAATCTCACGAAGAGAACAATGTGCAATCCATAGGGCTCATCCTTGCAAGAATGCAGCTTGTAAACATTATAAGAACTTAATAGAAGTTACCAGAGCCTAACAAATTGAAGGTATCATGAACCACTGAAGAAGACAGGGGATAGACTCACTAGATAAAACTATTCCCACAAATATTTGCACACACACACCCTAACCAATACCAAACTAAAATATATTTGTAAACACATACCATATTGATAGACACTATCTGAAAAACAAAAACCTCAGTTCACATAATCAACTGAGAACAAAAAAAGTTTGCATCACAAAGATGGTTACAAACACAATAAAATCCTAAAAATTGGAGGATAATCCTAGCTCTAACCATAATAAACAGTGTGATTACACAAAATATTACAGTGAGAAAACAAAAACCTACAGGCTCCAACCATCTTCCAAAAAACACAAAAAAAATAAAAAATAAAAAACCATGTGCCTTAAGCAGTCAAAAGAGCCAGCATCCCATGATTTCAAAGATCAACCCAATTCAATAGGGATAGTTGCCCTCGGACAAAACTAGTAACTCAAGGGATGTATATATCATCATCACTCGATGAGTTAGTCATATCAAAATCCAGCTGTGCTAGAAAAAAAGCCATCTCCTCAGCCATTACGACTTCATTTTCTAAATCTTCATCACACTCCAGTTCTTCTACTTCTAGTGGATAGTGGGATTTGTACAAGTGCTCAAACAAAATGTGTATGCCATCAATACCCACATTATCAAAGCTGTGGGAGCTGAATTCTATGGCATCCATATCTGGAAAACTGGAGCTGTACACATCAGTCATGAGAGTACTGTTCCACAAGTATGAGCCTGGCTTGACAGTGTGCTGGAACACAACAAACATAGTATCCATTACTGGAGTCATTAAAGCTAATCAACTCCAGGATGAAAGTAAATGAGAAAACTATTCAGGTGAAGCCATTTTGAATACATCTCCTCAACCATTAACAAATACATTGACTGGCAAGTTAAAAAAGAGTGTGATCTACTTAGTGAATACAGTGGTCAAGAAACAAAAGAGACGACAGATACAGCTGTAAAAGTTAGCACAAGAGAGAGTCAGATGAAAGAAGTGGAGATGTGACGACCAAAAATACTAGACATAGTAAATAGGTTACATCAACATTATTTCTATGATGTTGTCGCTATGATATGTTAAGGCATGGGTTGGACATGCTTCTCAGATTCCAATAAAATCAGAAAACACTCATTACTTTCTCCATTTTGCTTTTTGCCGCAGATGGGAAAAAAGTACAGAAAAAGAAGCAGTACATTTTAAAGCTGTCATATGAAGCAAGTTCTTGCTATGACACTAGAAAACGATCCTGGAGGAGCAATGCTTGCAAGGGTTTCTTTTGAATATAATCTTAAAAAATTAGAAGTAGCTCTGCTTGAACGACAAGCACAGCAGCCACTATCTCTTGAAAATCCAGGTAAATTAGATATGGAAAACTTCAATTGTTATAATTAATTTCCTGTGGGGTTCACCTAATGGACTTGAACATGCTGCTAACGCTGAGGTTTGCACTTTAACAGAGATCCTCACATTGCATTAATGGCTTGCCTGACTGAGGGAGATTCTCACATGAAGAACAGGGTATGTGGTTTCCAGACCACGAGGCCAATGGCATTATAGATGAACAAATGAAAATACATTTCAGTTATAGATTAGCAAGTGGGGAAGCAGCTTTTCTGAGGTAACTTGTGTGTGCCAAGGAGAGGGAGATTTTGTGTGCATGCATGTGTTTGTGAGAGAGAGACAGAGACAGAGAGACACACACAGAGATGACAAAAACCAACAATTTTAGGAGATTAATTATAAGAAAAAGCACTAGTATTCAAAACAAAAATAAATAAATAAAGTACTAGTATTTAAAGATCCCATAAACTACATCCCAGCTCCTTGCTTCAAATAGCAATAACTAACATCATATGACGTGTCATGTCATCATTTGAATTTTCTTATTTTTATAATTCATTGGTAGGAGCAGGCTTTTCATAAAATACTCTTAACCCTGTCTCCACTGTATTTTTTATCACAGTATCTAGAATCCATTGTGGGTGTTAGAGCCCCAATAAGGATCTTGCAATCCATGTAGAAAAAAATCAATGTCAATTGCGTAGGAAACTTCTTGCAAGCATGATCTTTCGATCCTAATAACTAGATCTTGTTGGATCGTGAATCCCAATCCTTGTTTTGTATGTGGGTGTTTTTATGTTTTGGCCCAACTAGACAATTTATGCTAAACAAAATAAACAATATTAAATTAAACAGGCTAAGAAAAACAAACTAGAATAATACACATTCAAAAAAAAAAAAAAAAACCTAAAGAATAAAGTGAACGCTATAATTTGGGAATCTCCATCTTTGTCCCTAACCCACTCCACTCTGCTACTATGCTTCGTCATATATCTCTCTTGTTGAATAGTAGAGCATTCAGCTTTTCTTTTTTCTTTTTTCCTTTCCTTTTTTCTGTTTAGTCAGATAGCCTCATATCTAATAATTTGTTCAGTTATTTTGTATATTCCAGTCTCATTGTTTTTTTTAATGCAATTGTACACTAAAATATAGAGCTATTGCTCATCCAGTTTCTATTTCTTTTCTTTTTTTTCTTTTTTAATGTATCCATTTTGCATTACATGGGTCTTTGTCTTGTCTTGTCTTTTATAGTGTCCAAAATGTAACTGCCTTCCCTTTTGTTTTTTTGGTAATAGCCCTTAGTTTTATTTGTAGCAATTGCAGAATGCAACTACTACAGATTTTTTGTATGATACATAAAAGTCTCTTTTTCTTTTATTTCTCTCTTCTGAGTTTTCAATCTATTTCCAAATCCAACTGCTATTTTTGCCTTTTCTATGCTTCACCATAATTCATAATACATCTCATTAAAAAATATTAGACACAAAACTTACCCGAAGCTTGAGGATACAGCTGCCTCAGTCCCCTCCCATCCAATCTATATGTGTTAAAACAAAATAATATATAAAGAGGAAGGAGAAGCAAAAGCTTCACATCCAATTTAAAAATACCACGACGAGTATGGCTAGTCCTGTCTGTTTCCACCAAAAAGGCCATTAGTCAACCAAATCGTACACAAACTTTTTTATCTTCTCCATAAACCTTCTCACTTAGTCCCGAAGGTGTCCTCAAAATATGGGCACAACTTTTAATGAAGTTTGCTAATTTACATAAATTGTCTTCCATAAATGAAAAAGAGGCCTCAAAAATCAGTTGACCCGAAATCATAACATATCTACAATGTTAATTAAATACTAAGAAGCATGGATACTTCTAAGAAGGTGACGTATCCGTGTCGTGCCCGTGTCAGACACCGACACTCTTTAGACACTTCCCCGACACTCTTCAAAATGTGTCATATTTTTAAATTTGTTTTAAAGGCCCGGACACTTGGAGGACACACGTGTTTATCACTATACGTGTCTATCGATTAGACACATGTGAAACTAATTATAAATTTGAACAAAACAACTTAAGATACAATAATAAAATAAAAACCATATAAATTTATAAGAATTAGTGTCATATTGCATTTTTTATTATTTTTGAATGATATTCATATACATAACATATAATAAATATATAAAATTATATATTTTATGCGTGTCTCTCACGTGTCATGTCCTGCATTTTTTAAAAATTGGCGTGCCCGTGTTGTATCCGTGTCGTGTCGCGTCGCGTGTCCGTGTCCATACTTCTTAGATTAAAAACAAGGGCAGACTAACCATATGTTTCAACATTCTTCATAACTACCAGTATTAGTGCAATTTACTGTTCAGTAATAATTAAATGAGATTTCAGTTCAGACACTATCTTCATGTCTACATGAATTTTATACTCTTCTTCTTGAATTTTACTTTAATTGTAGTATATTTTGACGTCATTTTGATGTCATAGTCCAACCCTAGTTGACTCTACAGTTGTACGACTGACGGTTAACCAGATCACTTTTCAAGTTTGAACAAGATAATTTGAGATGAAATCAGTTCACAAGTTCAAGACAGCCCTGGTACTAAACTTTTTTCCAAATATTTCAGATGATCATTTGTTCGTAAGAAATGATATAGGTTGGACTTGGGGGACCAAACTACATCAGTCGAGTAGGATTTGTAAGATTTGGATAATCCTGTTCCATGTCAGAATACTGCATTTTGAAATCTTTTTTAGAAAGTTGCAGACCAAGGAACAGCTTGTAAAACTTAATCTACAATACTCGAACAAATATAACTCAAACCTTGTTCAACTTTCTACTTGAAATTGTTTAGCAGAATACTCTTCCCCCGCGTTCGGGCATTTGTAAACAGGAAACCCCTGCCCAACCTTGTCAGACAAAAAGTACATATGACAACAATCTAATCCACCTTACTAGTACCACAAAAATGTGTGAAGAACAAATATCATCACTTTCCCACGTCATCTACTTGAAATGTGTCCATCATCATACAACATCAGTTTTAACTAAAAGATGGAACTTCTGGTTTTTCCGACACCAACATTGTGTTTAACTAAAAGCTTTCATAATATCGTTAGGATGCTTTCCTAGGCTACAATGGTATATTACATTTGGCAAAAAAGAAATCAGAGAACTTTTAGAGATCTTCACAATTACGCATAATGGCAGGGTTAAGTCCTCCCAATTTCATGCAGTAAAACCCTATGCTCTTATTTTTTTCAATTTGTACGAATTGGAAGATTACCTTATATGTTTTTTAGCACCATTAGCTCTTAGATTTATTTTGTATGGGTGTAGTTGAGATCTCCTCATGTAATTGAAGGAATGCCTTCCTTGATCATGTACTTAATCTTATTTTTTGGTAATAAATACCCACCCAAAAAAAAACATTTTGGTCACAAACACCAAACATCTAGCAAGAAAGAATCACCAGAATTATTTTGTAAACTAGCTTATTCATATTCACAAGATCATATTCACATATTGTGCAAGATTTTATTATCTTACCACTTTTCCAGACACCATTAAGTTCAGTTTAAAACTTCAAGAAGTATAATTCAGCGCAAGTGCTTGGAAAGTCATTTACTGAGACTGCAAGGCCGGCCTTGACTTTTGGGGGGCCCAAGGCAAACTCAAAAATGGGGTCTCCATACATATTTTGAAGAAAAAAAAAATAACAATAATAATAATAATAATTGGTAAAATAGTAAATATCTTTTTTCTTTTTCTTTTGTTGTATCTATACAAACACTAAAATTACTAGTTTTTTACCCACATAAAGTATTAGGTGATAAATCCATTTTGAACACATTGTATTAGTGAGTGAATCGAATATAATTTAGTTTTCACAATAATTATAATATTGTATACCCTGATCAATTTCATATAAATTTTAAAGTTGATATAAATCACAGTTATAAAGATATATATATAATTATTGAGATAAATTTTGGACATTTTTAATGGGATTATTATTATTATTATTATTATTATTATTATTATTATTATTATTATTTGACGTAGCTAATTAAACGTAAAATTTGATCAACTTCAGCTTGCAAAAATTTATTTCTCCAAAGGCAATACTAACTAGTATAGTCTACAATATTCCATAATCAATCCATAAATTTGGCATATAACCCATCCATTACTTTTAAATAATTTACCACTTCAATTGTTTTTAAAAAAAAATTAGATAAAACTTCATTTTAAATTATTAATATACTACAATGTACTGTTTGGTTCACTAGAATGAAACTAAATGCAATGGAATGGTCATCTGTTAGTCTCTCTATAAAATGACTATTCTCTCACAAAGGTGAATGATGATTCTATTTGAAATATAATTTTTTATTATTTTTTTAGTGAACCAAAGGTGAGAATGGACATTATAATTGAATGATTATTTGATATCATTTAATTTCAATGAACCAAACATAACGTAAGAGTTACAGCTATTTGGGGACCTTATTTTTTAGACAGAAATCGGGGCCCAAGGCAGGTGCATTGCATGCCTTAGCTCAGGGCCAGCCGTGTGAGGCTGTTAAGGTCTATCTTGAAAATACTCACACCATTGGAATCAATCAAGAATGCCTTCCCTAAACATTTCTCAGAACATTAACCGCATAGAAATTACTAAAAATGTCCTCGTAAGTTAAAGAGCACAAACTGACTACAACAATCATACAATACAACTTCCTACAGGATGGGATAAAATTCCCCAGCACGTACTAATAAAGTAACTGGTCTTCAAACCATAAATTGAACAAATAAATTATACTGAATAGAGATATCACAATACTAATGAAATTTGAAACATATGCATGACAGTTGGATTTTCAACATCCGCAATTGGAGCATTCTAGTGATTTCACTTACATTCTAGTCCATGCTCACACAAGAAGACATTACAATAAGCCAAAGAGGAATTGAAGTATGTTGGATTCAGTAAAAAGTTACTTCAGTGGGAGAGAAAATCATCCCATCTGACTTTATAACTAAATCCACTCGCATATTGAAAGATTCATCACCAAGTTGTTTATTTACATAGTGATGCAGATCGAATGACTTCAAAATATTTGGGGCATTTGGATTAAAGGGTAGCAAAACAATAAATAAGTGAGCAGTCTCACGTTGGTAAATCAGCTTAAAAACGCCAATGTTTGATTGGAAGCGGCATGCCCAACCAATAAAACTCACTGCTACATAGTGACAGACAATGGATTTTGGGCAAATTCCTTCATATCAACAAATTTGCCATTTTTAGAAATTTTTGTTATAGTTATAACTTTGTATAGGAGTATCCATTTCAATGTCATTTGTTTTGGCATGTTTCTTTAGGTTTCCAGTATCCAAATTTGACTTTAACTCAAATTATATATTTAGTACTTTTTTGTGTTTATTTATTTAGTGACCCCATTTGATGGGACTTACAGCTTAGCTTGGTTTGGTTTGGTTTGGTTTAGGGAATTGTCGTGTTTTCCTATTCCTAGTTGTTTTAGGAATTCTCTACTATTATAAATAACTTGTAAGCCTTAGGGTTATTCAATTTTTTGGAAATTACTAATATTTCTTAAAGAGAGAGTTCTCTTCTTCAAGTTTGTTCATATTTGTTCTTGTTGCTCACTCTTGGTTCTACGTGCTTCCCTACATCACAGAAAAGGGGTGGGGGAGGCAGCAATACCACAAAGAAATTTTGGGCCAACACCATTAGCAAATTATTGGCTTCTACTTTACAGCACATAAGATTATAAAATAGTCCAAGGTAAAAACCAATGCCATCAAGATGATACAACTGCTTTCACAACAGTAAGCCCATTTGAATTTTTTTTTTTCTGATAAAAAATAAATAAATAAACTGAGGCACCTTAATAACTGACTAACCTTGTAAAAACAACTAGTCCCAAATGGACAAGTTCCGTTTCCAAAGTCAAAGTGCTTGCAATCAATAGACCTGCAAAAGGAAGTCATCTTATTGTCCATACCAAAGATCAATAAAGAACTCATTAGTTCTTTAGCTGTAAGATAGACCAAAAAAACAAATAAATAAATAAAAGTTGATCATAGAGATAAACATAATGAAAAACATGAAAGATATACTCCAAAACCTACATCTGAAACATAGAAGTCCACACTCTATGGGAAATGACTATCTAAACCCCTCAAAGATAAAATCATTTACATACCTTTAAAAAAAGCTAAACCTATAGAACGCGCTAGTTTCTTTAGCCTAGTACAACAAAATCTTGAGATACACATAACCCCAAGGGGTTTGGCTTAGTGGGAGGAGAGGCGACCAAAGGACTTACCGCCCAAAAGGTCGCAGGGTCAAATTCCATATAAGCCAAACTTCCCAAACGCCAACTAAGGTTTGTCCAATCGTTAACTTCAGGGCCCCGGAATTAATGGAGGTGCGAGTAAGCTGGTCCAAACACCAGGTTATCAAAAATAAATAAATAAAAACTTGAAAAACATAATCATATAAGATTCCTATTAGTTTCTCTTTGAAATCATGACAATGTCCAAATATCATCGATTCTTTGAATATAGCCTTTCTTGAGCTTTGCATATTCTGCATCAACATGTCTTTGTTGATGCAGCTAGATTTCAGGACGTGGGTTAGTGTGGATAGTCATCCACTGCATTTGAGTACTCATAGCAGCCCATCCATCCTAGAAGGTGGACACATGGCAGGTTTTTAGGCTGGCTACCTCATTTCCTTCCATTCTATCCTGTTATCATGTTGCGAAAAAATAGGAACCATCACCAACTACCTCCTAGATCCTAGGAGGCAAATCAGCCACTTTTTGTTTTACAAAGTCAACAACCATTCAACAATTCGGGTTGACCCAACTCACATGTGGATCCTACAAATTGACCTGAACCCAAATCCTTCTTTATGGGCCCCTTTTCCACGCGGCAGCCTCCTATTGGCCGTGCCAAATAAGGTACAAACAGATAGTATAATAAGGTTGTAAGCCTTAGTGCTATTCAGTTTTAAGTCTAATTAAATTATTATTTCAAAGAGAGTTTCTCTTCTTTATTGTTCGTGGTTGTTCTTGTTGTAAGAGTTCATTCCATACACGCTCCCCGCATCAGTTGGTTCTAGAGCTTACACATGAGTCTTAACCATGGCTCATGGAGGAGTCATCAGTAGCAGACGATATGCTCTATATGCCACTATCAAAGTAGTGTGGGAGCAAGGTCACGCTACAAAAGATGCTCAAACAGAGGATATTTTCACAAATCAAAGAAGCAATCACATCGATGATACAACGGTCCAACGCCTTGAATTTTGAAAACTTCCCTTGCAACTGCCAGCCAAACCGACAACCTGTATAAAAGGAGGTTTCGGAAGAGGATTTCACCACTAACCATCAGCCGATGGAAGGGCAGAGGAGTCATGGTTAATAACTATGATTCTCGATGCTGAGAGTCTGGTTGGAAAATCGAGTTGGCTGAGTTCCGAGAAGATTCAACACCAGAACATTTCCTTAATTAGCTTTTCATATCAACAGCTATTCCAGATCTAAGTGTGGATTGGGGTAACCACCAATTTTCAATGAAGACCTAACTGAAGAAATTATAAAAGAAGATAATGACACAAAAACTTAATCTACTTGATGAAGATCCTTTATTAAATTTCAATATGCCGTCCAAAAATTCATCAAAATTGAGTTTTATTCTTTCATGAACCAAGATCTTTCCCATAAATGGACTCTTGTTGCAATCGGCAAAGACATTTGAATTCTTCATTGTAACATTAAAGCATGTTTCTGTGACTCTCAAAAATGATTGTTGGAAGGAAATTGATGAGAATCATATCAAGGCGGCCTTGTAAGATTTGGTTGAGGTAGCAGATTTAAGAGTTAAACCATCCAACTACAATATGAAGACTATTCCCTATGATCCTTTTGAAGGAGAATTTGATGACAACTCCAAAAATTCGAGTTTGATTGGTAAGGCTTTGTGCTTAACCAAATCTTTCAAGTTGATTAAATGCACAAACAAAAGGAAATAAGACTGTTGTTCCCCTAACCAAATGTTGATCTATCAATATCTTTCACTTATTTCTTTAAAAAAAACATTAAAGGAATTGGAGAACTAATAACCATTTCAAGAGAAGTACATGACCCACATAATTATACCTGAGTTTTGCTTTGTAGCTGTCAACAATTTCCTGCTTTTCTTCTTTCGTAGAATACCAAATGACACTAGGAATGACGAAGTATGAAACCTTTCTACATATTGGGCAGGCCCTCAATGTAGAGTTCACATCCATTCCAGAGGTTGGGGAACTACTACGCCAATTCCTGATACAAGATATACAGAATGGATGATCACACTCTGATAGTACTCCAAACTTTCGTTCAGCTGCTGTTGGCTTCGAAAGAACACGTTCAAGGCACACACTGCATTCTATATCTTGACTATGCTTTAATGCCTCCAGGTGATTTTGCTTTTTCTCGCATGTTTTTATATGTTCCTCTCTCTCCTGGGGTCGGAAAGGATGCAAGCAATGCTTTCCACAGGAGGGACATAAATGCCCATGGATATGAGGACATTTGTCCCCACGTGGACAACAACCAGCGGCAGCAAATGAGCAGATTGAAAGATCAGCTGGATCAAGGCTCTTAGAGTCATCAACATCATCAATGTCTAACAAAGATCGATGCCCAGATGTTTGATTCCATGACACTTTTGCAGGGGGGAAGAAAGGTCTACTTGAAGCTGAAAGCTCCGAAGTAAGACCTGGGACTGTAGTCAACCCACCAGATGCAGTCCTAGAAGAACAAGTGACAGCAGTGGAATCAGAAACCAAAAATTGGTGAGAAATTGTGGACGAAGATGCAGTGGAGGACTGTGATCGAGAAACTTTAACATGTTCATATCTGCATCGGCTTCCATAAGAACAGACTCCTTTCTGGTAGAAGGTGCACACCTGCATTATTATTTCAATAAGAAACAAAAAAAGAAAGGGAAAAAAAATTTACAGGACTAATGGAATTAATGAGTTGACTATCAAAGAAGATAGCAGACAGTTTACATTATTTGATGGGTCCTTCCAATCATGTGAGAACTCGCAATGTTCCCCTTTTAAACATGCTCCATGTGCAAAGAACTTGCAAAGAACCCTGGACAAAACAGAAACATGACACTCATAATCTTCTAACAAAATACTGATCAAGAACATAGGAGTGAAAGTGAGGTAGGTTGATTTTTGTCTAAAATTCAATTACATAAACAGGAAAAAAATAATAATAACTTTGTAAACCAAATTTTGGGACCAGATCCAAGTTAATTTGACAATGGAATCCACGTGGTGACTGCATCATTGGCAAAAGCATCCCTTTCTGGTTGCCAACAAGTATCTTGCAAACAAGAATATCACCTTAATAGAAATTTTGGGTTTAGTTATGAGTATCTAAAAAAATCAAGGGCGTATGTGAAAAAATGGGTATACTAGATGTCAGTTGGTACATCAAAATAAGGCCAACAAAGAACTCAACTTTACAATCAATTGATGATACGAAAGAGGAGAGATACACCTATCTTGGGAAAATGCCAGACAAGCAATATACCCAAGGATTTCAACTCAATATTGGCTCCATACCTTTCAAATTATCAGTCTTCTACTCCACCACTAACAAATGCTAGAAACCTGTTCGGCTTGGGATTAAAAATTTTGAAACTCTCCCACAACAACATTTGCAAGAACTCTCCATTAATTAGAATCTCTACATCGCATCAACCATAGATTTCTATGAGTTAATGCCATAAAACATATAAAGTTTGAAACGAGGATGCACCAGGGACACGTCCCTTTAATTTAATGATTTTTTTGTATGGGACGCGGCGGGGCTCACTTTTTTTCTTTTTTTTTTTCCTTTTCTTCTTTTGCCTCTCTTATTTAGTGCTTTTGTCTCTCTTATTTAGTGCTTTTGTGAAAAATATTGTTGGATGTTGAATGCTTTCCCCTTCTCGTTTTAATTCTTGTTATCATTTATTATGACTTTTTTGTGAATGGATGATCTATTAATTTGTTTAAATGTAGTGGTTATTTTTATTGAATTAATGTTATTATGTTAGTGTTTGTTAATTTTGATTTAGGATGAATGTAATATAAATCTACATAACACATAAAAATCTATAAAATAAAAAATACAAAAAAAAAAAATCCGCCGTGTCCCCCGCCGTGTCGGTGTCCGTGTCTGTGCTTCATAGGGTGGCGTGCACATATCACCCACTTAGAGACAAACAAAAAATAAGAAAAGAATCAACCTACCAGGGTTTTTAGCACCATCACCAAAACAACATCAAATTCCTCATCATTCAAAACCATTAGCATAATTATGCCAGAAGAAAATCCAGAGAGGACTAGAATTTGCTGTGCATGAATTTGGATTTGACAACTTCCAAAAAACAAGACCAGTTTTGTCTCAACTCTCTCATAAAAATGCATTCAATACCTTCACAGTCTCCCTCTCTTCCTTCAACAAAACAGTGCCATGTGCGATCTCAACCATGCAGTGATGGAAGTGGTGTCTCAGTGATTCACCTATAAAGTAAACCGCCAAAGAGAAGCAGCATCTGTCCAAATGTTTTAGAAACGTATCTCCAGCCTTGTATTCCAGAAATTCATCAAACATGACAAAGTTCAACATTCTTAGTTGTGGCCTCGATCTTTTTGCCACTAATACCCAATCAATCCTTTAACACCGCCGGTAAGTGAATTTGAATAGAGATTTTGAGGATGAACTTGCACTGATCAATTAAAATCCAAGCAATGGATGAAGCTGCTAACATCTAAACACCAAGAATTCTATAGACCTGGCAAATTATGCATATGCTAGCTGAAACATTAATTATCTCAATCCTATCTTTATCCACTATGTTGCAGGCAGCCAATTTGAAATGAATAGTTCAGATATGGAACCTCAAAGCTCTCACTATCAATGAACAACAAAGGTAAAAATCCCCATGTGGAGAATTGAACAAATTAACTGGATGGCACAGATACAAACCCAACAAGCCATAATTTGTTGCGCGGTTTTATTTCATAGATCCTATTTGGCCCCCTCCCATGTCAGACTCTACCTACCCATCCCATCCCACCCCACCCCCCAACCCAAAAAAAAAAAAAATTCGGGGATTATATACACCAAGAGAAAGAAAAGCAAAATGAGATTTTGAGTATCACATTTTCTGTTGTTTTGCAATTAAAAATCAAAAACAAAATAAAAAATAAAAATCCAACTCAGACAAACCAAAATAGTATTATTTAGCTTAGTTCCGTTTCATTTTGTGTTTTATCACATCCTAAACAATGACTTCCTACAGATACAAAAACATTTCTCAACAACCAAACAAAGCTTTAAAAAAAAACCAAAACAAAACAAAATTCCCAAAATCAATGAGAAAAATAAAAACCCCAAATCAAGTCTACCTCGCAAAATTTCCCCGTGAATCCAACATTCAATTGATATACACAAGCTAATTCCTCAAATCGACAAACAAATTGCAATTAAAGAAAAAAGTCACAAATTTATGAAAACACAAAAAGCATCATAAATAAATTCCAATAAATCGACATCGTTGATAAATGCGAGATTAAAAAACATCAAATAATACACATGTAATATAATCTGAGACACATATACAAATGAAAAACAAAACCCTATATCAAACTCAATATAGTTTAGCTGAATGAACTCACTCAAAAAACAAACAAACAAACAAAGAATCAATGAGTAACACAGATGAGAAATTGAGAAATCACCTCTTTGACATGGCTTTATTTCAAGAGAATCGAAACCCTAAAAATTTCAAGGGGGTGAAATTGAGACCCCTTTTTTCTTGAGTTTTTGGCGGTTGGTATCTTGTCAAGAAGGAGGTGGCGTGAGGTAATGGGTAATCGAATTGGCATCGTATTTACGGAAACGCCATTCCCCACTATCGCGATTTGCGAATGGTGGAGCTTGCGGATGGCAGTGTCGTAATTATGGCGAAGTATGAGAATTTATAGTGTGAGAAATAATAGGTTGTCTGTACGAGGGGAATATCGCTCAAATTGGCTTTTGACACATGTTGAATAAAAAGGAGCTGATTGAATTTGGGATGTGTAGTATTGGCCATAGTGGAGAACATGCTAAACTTTTTATGCGGGGCTGTGCTGTATTAGATTTTTTTTTAAATATTCATCGATAGCTTAATGAAATATGTTACCAAAAAATATAGGCTGGAGTACCAATAAATCTTAAAATATGACCATTTAAATAATTTAATTTTTCTTTTTTTTCATAAACTTAAATGTCCCATTAAAGTGAAAATTACATAAAAGGTAGTTACTTACCTATTTGGGTTTAATTTTTTAAAGATAAAAGTTATTTTTTCAAAATGTAAAATTACATATTTGGGCAATTTAAACTATAGAAGTTTTGGATTTTCCCTCATTCTAGAACAAATCTCACATTACGAACAAAAACCTAACACTCCAATAACGTAACACTTCAATGTAATACACTAAAAAACTCATTGGTGTACTTTTCTCAAACATAACAACGTAACACTCAAAAAAAAATTGTATATTTTTTCCAAACGTAATAATCCAATGTAAAATAATAATAAAAAAAAAATCTTAGTGTATTTTTTTCAAACGTAACACTTCAATCAGTGTAATCTCAAACGTAACACTTCAGGATTTTTTTAAAGTATTATATTAGAGTGTTACAGTAATACACTAAAAAACTCATTGGTGTACTTTTCTCAAACATAACAACGTAACACTCAAAAAAAAATTGTATACTTTTTCCAAACGTAATAATCCAATGTAAAATAAAAAAAAAAAAAATCTTAGTGTATTTTTTTCAAATGTAACACTTCAATCAGTGTAATCTCAAACGTAACACTTCAGGATTTTTGTAAAGTATTATATTAGAGTGTTACATTTAGAAAAAGTACACCAAGAAATTTTTTTGTATGTTAGATTAGAGTGTGCAAAAAAAATTGGTATACTTTTTCCAAACGTAACACTTCAATCAGTGTAATATCAAACGTAACACTTCAGGATTTTTTTAAAGTATTATATTAGAGTGTTACATTTGGAAAAAATACATCAAGAAGTTTTTTTGTATGTTACATTAGAGTGTTACACTAAGGAGTTTTTGTGTGTATTACATTGGATTGTTACATTAAAGAGTATTTTTGTGTGTTATATTAGAGTGTTACGTTTGGGAAACACATACTAAGGAGTTTTTTTATGTGTTACATTAGAGTGTTGCAATAAGAAATTTTTTTGTATGTTATTTTAGAGTGTTACACTAAAAAGTTTTTTTTAAGTGTTATATTGAAGTGTTACGTTTGGAAAAACTATAGAAATGAGTTTTTTTTATGTGTTACATCAGTGTTACGTTTGGATGTTAATTAATGTTAATGTTACAATAGGGACGAATACCACAAAAAAGAACGAACACCACACCAATAACACCACAAACGGGGTAACATCATCCACCTACCAATCACTCCACTAAATCCCAAAAAAAAAATAGAAACGTAAAAACTTACCTTACGTACACCCAACATTAGGAAAAAATTTAAACAAAATCACACACAAGGGCAAACAAGTAAATTTTCAAATCCCAAATCAAGGAAATACAACATACCCAGAATAAAAAGGACTAATTGATTTGAAAGAAAACTTCTAGGACTAAACGGAATAACTTTTCTCCAAATGAAATTTATGAGTAATTTTTCCAAAAATATATAGCAAAAAGATAATTTAAAATTTTTAAAAAATATTTATGTGATAAAATTATATAAACATAATAAGGTCTCATTTGGTAAGTAGCTGGTTTAGCCTAAAAGCTAAAAAGTTACTAAAAAAATCAAAAAACCAACAACTTATACCAAAAAGTGAAAGATTTCATTTTCTTTTTACTTTTTATAAATCTTTTCGTAAAAAGTCAAAAAGTTATCCCAAACATACTAGTTTTTTTTCCTCATATTTTAGCCAAAAAGCCAAAAAGTTACTAAAGTAACCTGTTCCCAAACGAGGCCTAAGTATTTTTTTCCTTTTTTTTTGGAAAATATCACATTAATGGATTTTTGTAAAAATAATTATATATCAATAGAAAACTTTATAAATATTAATAATTATAATTATAAATTTTTTAATGAATATGTAATTTTTTTAAGTTTTAACTAGCATTTTAAGAGGCACTTAAATTTTTAAGTAATGTCAGTTATAGTATCAAACGGATTTAATTGATTATTACTTAATACATTCAATTTTAAGTGCTGAATAATGTTATCAAACATCTCCTAATAAATAGACTTTTAGAGACAAAATAATTTGGTGTAAAAAAGATTTATTTTTTAGACAAAAAATTTAGTCTCAAAAAGATAATAATCCATCATTAATGTCTAATTTTCGTTGCTAAAAATATAATAATAACACTTTTTACAACAAAAATATTTGGTCCCCAAAAAATAATTTTATTCTTAAATTTTGGTTTTTGAAATCTTAATTTTTTGTAGTGGATGTAAATTATAAAGATGTAAAGTATAATTTATCCTTATGTGTACTAAGACTAGTGTCATTACATGCCTGCATACCCTCAACACTTTGGTAGCTTCAATAATTATGTACATCATTCCTTACAATAATAAACAAAACATTCAATTACATAAAACCGTACAAAACACTAGTAGGAGTGGAGTGACCCAATTTTGGGATCCACATCCTTATGAGTATTAAGTGCCACTTTTTATGTCTGAGTTGTGTGTCTCACTTTTTGTGCCATATATAATGATGCCCTACCACCAGTTTATCCAAATAACCTGAACCCAAAATGCTTAAACTAATGATAGTTACATACCCAAAATCATCAAGGCAAATCTTTAATATATCCTTCTCTTAATATTAATGGTAGTAGCTTCCTATTTGAAAAGAGGATATATGCCAGAGATATCAGTGATCAGGAATGGATTCCATAGAGAACAAGGCATCCACCTCCTTGACCTTTGGTGTTGGAATTAAGTCAATATGTAATTCCATTCCAATCCCTTTATTCTCCAATGCATGTCAAAGTAAAGGCTACCCTACAAGTATACAGCATATGAAGTATTATAGAGGGACTATAAATTCAAAAAAATCATTTAAATTTTTTTTTTAGAATTAGTAATATATGATTTAAATTTATTTTATGTATAGACTCACGTTTTTATTAATTTAATCTCTACTATACAAATTGATTCTAAATAAAAATTTGGAGACAAAATATTAGATTAATAGAACTACACAGTATTATGGCACTACCGTTGGTTTTTTTAATAGTCTCACCAACAAGAAGCATCTCAAGATTCAAAAGAATATCAATCAATGTTTATAATATATATACAGAATATAGATATTGGAGTGGATGTGTGGAGATTCTATTTACCTTATAGCATGCATGGCATAACCTACGCATTTCTCTACGTAAACCACTTGGGCACCTAAATTCAACTCTGCATATTATTTTTGAATTTAAAAGAATATCAATCAATTTTTATTAAGGTGAGCTCTATTGATTTGCGCCTAGAAGTGAGAAAATAAAACGAGAAATAAGATTATGCTTATCATTGCTCTTTGGCAAATTACAGACTTGCACTTTATTTGTTTTGGCAGATATTTTATTTTTATTTTTGTTTTTTTAGTATTTGATACAACGGAAACACAAATTAAAAGAAAACATCTTTCATAGTCATTGAAAAAAAAAACTTATTTGAAAATATTTTCTGAACTGAAATCTTACTAAAACCACCACAGTTCTACCATCGCCACTACTATTAAAATATTGGATTTAAATGTGATATCAAGTAGCAGTATCATGCCCAATGAACATTCTTGATTTACAATAGTGTTGGCGACATATTTTGTACAAGCCAATTACAATTCGACGCGTGATGAAATAAGGGTAATATAGGAAGACTATTCAGGTCCTCGATCCTGATCGTACACGTGGGAGTTAGAATTGGTTGTTAAGAGATCTGAGTAGCAGCGGATCAACAAAGAGATACAAAGTGACGTGGCCTCAACGGTTACTC